TAATAAAATCTAGGCTGTATAGTATAGCTCAAATAATTGACGTAGCAGAAAACCTTAGAGCTAAAATATTTTTTATAGGCAAGAACAAAATAAGAAACAATAACCAAGGAAAACTTGGCAGAGTGACTGTAAATGCCTTTTAATAGCTAGTATTAGTAAATTGTACTTTATAAAAAAGTACTTACAATATCAGTAAAGGCATTCTTATTGTTGAATCCAGACCCCAGAACCAGTGCCAAACTGCCTTTAGAACCCCAACTTTATTGCTTTGGGTCTCTACATAAGTTTCTGCTGTCTCTGCAGGTGGTAATTCTTCTCCCAAAACTCCATCCATCACCAGCCTAGATGACTGTGAGTGCAACATTATTAACCACTTATGGAATAACTTTTGAATGGCAAGAGATCCTACAATTGCCTCATTGGCTTCAGAGGCATAGACAACTGGCTGGTTATGAGCCTTTGGAGATTCCACTATGGTCTCTTCACCCTTTGGAACATAAGAAAGTTTAGCAGAATTCTTAGGTGCATTTGATCCACTTGCTCTGCCTCCTGATTCATCATCCTGGGGACTGCCTTTGAAGGCTAAAACTTTTAAATTTTTTACTTTCACTGCACGAATACAAGAAATCCCTACACTGCAGAAATAAGCTAGACTGAATCTATGCATTCAATACACATAAGATTCAAAAGGAAGAATTTCAACTTTCAACTTTTCAAGGACATAAGCAGAATGGTGCAATGCAACCACAAAGTTCAAGAACTAACTGCTCAAACAAAAGAAGCAAGTACACTTAAAGAGAGACATAAATCACCTCAAAGAAATATTGTGATTTACTGATGTACCCTTGTCTTTCCTTCCAACCATACAAATCGTTACATGTCTCTTTAACATTAATCTTTTGCTCCATGGGAAGGTCCTAGAAGGAAATGCTACATTTGAATCCTGAAAGCAGTAGATGAAAAAACAACATATGAATTTTCAGGAAAATACAACAGGAATGCTGATATCTCTACACTACAGGTTTAAAACCAATGAGAATTTTTCTAGATAGGGAATACAGCCTAACAGCCCAAAAGGTGTACATAGGTGTTTCAGCAACAACATTGTGTTATCTCACAGATTTTCAACTAATAGTGCATGGATAAACACTCTAAATTCATTATCCATCTCTTTGGTTTTTATGGGAATTGGATTTCTAGCTCCTCCATCCAAGCACTACCAGTCATTTACATTTATAGGAAAATTCTCCATATAAATTTGGTCTTTTCCTGGATGGAAAACCATTTAACTGTTTATTGGATTACCTGCAATTGCTGGGTTGCCAATACCATTGTCTCAACCCCCACCTTAAGCATCCGATCATGAAATCAAAAGGGCCTAAACAAATGGAATGTACTGCAATAAACACATTGTTTTTTCAAAGTTGCACCACAAACTGGAAAAAATTATACTGTCATCTACACAAGACACCCAGAAATAATGACGAGGAAGCAACAGCATGTAAAACAACAAGAATCACAGGACCAGAAATCAAGAACAAGCAAGACTTAGTGGACAGTTGATTTCACCTTAAGAATCTAAAAGATCTCAACAAGCACCTTCTTAAAAAAAACTTGGACATGATGCAAGAGGAATTAAAACATGTTCAAATTGCTCCCCTTAAAAAGGAGAAGAATGTGACAATATCCACAAAAATATAAACGTAAATTCAAATTTAAAAGCATATTAAAGGAATTAAAAAAAAAAAAAACAAAAGGAAAAAGGAAAAGAACACATCCATCATGATTACTTCAACAGAAAATCAACAGGATAAGCTAAACAAAGCAAATTTTTATAGGAAATAAAAAGGCAAAAATTTCATTTTCCCCTATCTTCCTCAGTATTACAACCTCTGACCATAAAGATGATATCTTTAATAACTTTAGGATATAAAAGCAGCAGAGGACTTAAAAGGTAGTTCAAATTTTGTTCCTTTTTACAAGACCCATCAAGATTTTTTCATCGAGAAGTTGAAATTTCGTTTCTACTTTGCATTAACAAACTAAGGGCAGCTAAACAAGCTGACCAGTCACATACCCAGCAAGAAAAACCCTAAAACAAAAGGCGAAAACCCCAAAAATGAAAGAAAATAAAACCGAAGATAATCCAACTGAGGTAAAAAATAGAACAAAGACACACTAACGAACTAACCTTGTACATGAAGAAATAATCACAGCTTCGAATTCTATGAAATATGTTGCAAAATTAAACACTGATACTTTCAGCCAAAAGAATTGAGTTTTTGTAAAGGTGAATATGGATAGGAAGATGAAGAAACAGTGAATTGGGGGTTTTATTTTCATAGCCCTGATTTTAGTGAACTACCAAAAAAAAAAAAAAAAGGCAAAAACCTTCTTAAGCTCCAAACTTACCACAAAATAACATTTAAATCCCTAAACTAAAACAAAGCAAATAAACTCTTCAACTCCACTAATTATGCAAATAAGTTTTCTTACAAACGGGCCAATAAGTATTTCATGTTTAATATCACCTTAAAAGCATGAATACCATGAATGAGAAGGGCTTATTTGAATAGTTACTTAGTTAGTGGAGTTGGAGAGCTTATTTGCTTCATTTTTAGTTTAGGAGCTTAAATGATATTTTGAGATAAGTTTAGGGGCTTAAGAAGGTTTTTGCCACAAAAAAACTAGACGGTAAGCGGAAAAATACAAGTCGGTGGAGTTTGTGAAACGACAGCTTTTGGTGTGTTTTTATTCGGGTAAGGCCCAAAGTTCTGGGCCTTGACACGGTTCCCATTTTCCAATTTTATTTTTCTTTTTACGAATTTGTAATTGTAAGCATTAAGAGCACTTGCGGCCTCAGCCGATCGCAGTGCACCAACGTCCTTAATTTCTTTCTCAGCCGATTGCAGTGCACCAACGTCCTTAATTTCTTTGTTAAGGGTTCAAGCTACTAATGCAATAATATTATAATTATTTTCTTTTCTTCAATTTTCCATTGGTAAAAAAAAAAAAAAATTGTAAGCATTAAGCAAAATTATTTCATTAAAGTTCGAATTTAGAAGTACGAACTTTTCGAATTTACGAAGTCATAGCAATGAGTCTAATAGTTAAGAACAATGTTACCGATTAGTGGTTACTCCCAGAAAGGAAAAAAAATGACGTTAATCCGCGGAAAGAGGATTGAACCGAGCTGGGTGGTGGGTATAAATGGGTGGGCACTGAAACATTTCAAGTCATTAAACTCCCAAGAATCAGGTTTGAGCTCAACTTGACAAAATTAAGAGCAATTTCAACTCGTGCAGACTACCTGCGAGCTTCATGTATATACTTAATACTGAAGCTTTTGATAATATCATCAAACCTAAGATCGAGCTTGAATGAAGTGGGACACACATGCAACTAATCATTTGCAATGAAGCTAGGAACAAGTGGCCACAACTAATAAAGGGATACCAAAATGAAGTGGGGGGGAGAACAATGAAATGAAACTTCTTCACTACTTCATTCCCAAAACAAGAAGGCTCAAAGATATACCAAGAGGTTCCACAGCGAAACAGCTGTGACCGAATTACACTTCTTTAAACCATATAAAATGAGATAAGTAAACCACATTTCAGCACCACGGATCAACTGACTTATCTTTTTGCCTAGGCACCATCTCTGCTGTTCTCTAACCCTGCTCAATTGTACACACCAATCAGTTGACAGATAGTTCAACAATATTTACCACTGAAAAATGCTGCCTAATTTGTAATATACCTGTGAACTTCCTTCCCACAAATAAAACCATAACATCACCTACTCACGACCTTGCTATGTCATCCATCCATGTTCTAGTCTCCTTATAATCAATCAAAACCACCATCTACTCTTACATTGCCACTCTGTCGTCCAAGGAAGTTGCCCCCACCACGTCGAGAGTGACTCCGACTCTTCTCCCTAAACCTTCCGCCCATATTGTGAGAACCATCTTTTGGTCCTTCAGGATTATTTGCTCTGTTATTATTTTGTGGCCCAACTGGCTGGTATTCATAATGTGAATTGTGCCTCTGCCTATCCCGGTTTGCAGGAAGGTTATGCTCTTGACCAGATGAATTCCAATCTCCATGAGATTCTTGCCCTCTACCAAATCGGTTATTTTGGTAGACATTTCTACGTGGCCTTGGCATTCGTTGCTCATGTCGAGTTTCCACATTTGATGGGTGAGGCTCCTCTGGAATACCAGCACCTTGATTTGGGGAGTAAGGACGTCCTTTGACTGCTCCTTCCCTGCTTTCTCTGTTTATATCTAGGTGCCCCATTTCCAGAGTTTCTTCTACATGGCCTTTCTCAACAACAGATAGATCCTTGGGAGACAGCTGTGCCAGACTTTCATTGGTTTGCTTGTGTGGTTGAGGTGGAAGTGGCACCCTACCCTGGGAATTAGAATCTTTTCTGTTACCTCTACCAATTTCAGCTCCAACATTTTGACCACCATCAAGCCTGTTTGCCTGCTGATTAGAGATTGAAGATTTAGGTTGCCATTGAGACAATGGGCGATCCCCACTACGATTTTCTTTTGAAGTAGCAGGAAAATCTGTTTGGCTTGTATCAGTAACTGGGAATTGCGCATTATGATTTTCAGCTTCCCCTTTCCTATAATCAGATTCACGATTGTTTCCAATACCTCTCTGCTGTCCTTTCATCATATGCCGCTTTCCTCGTGCTGCCACTCCCTGATCTCTTACAACAGAAATAGATGGCGGTAGTGCAGGCTCAGGAGGTTCAGGAATGTTCCAGCCATCATTAAAGTTCAATTCAGCATATTTAGGCTGCTCTTTCGCTAAGTTTGCATCACTATTCTGGTGTTCCTGATGCCCAGTTAATTTATGAGTGCCCTTATTTGGGTTTGAAGGCTGCCCGTCTTGCATACTTTGCACAGATGATTCAGCTGAAGCTCGTTGGAGCCAAGACCCATGGCCCTTTCCTTGCTGGTTCTGCCTGGAATCACCACTCCTCAACTCTCTGGTAGTAGCTGCCCCATGAGACCCAGAATCAATCCTCCTAACAGTCTCATCATTGACTGTAGTTTGACTGTATGAAGGAGCCAAATGTTGCTGACCACTTCCTAGCTGAGCCATTTCTTTGGCAACAGGCTTTGGTACATACCTTTCTATCTCTGCTCTCTTGTTTCTTGGATTGTTCTGCAATTGAGGATCACTCTTTGCGGATGAACCACCAGCTTCAGCATCCTTCTTCTGACTGACTTGTTCAGTGGCCTCACTCCTATTATGTGACCGCACAGGTGCCCAATGAGACTGTGGATTTCGAGCAGCCTTGCGAGAATGCTGAGTTTGAGTTTTCCCCTGGTTATTCACCCTCCCAAGGAATTCTTCATTAGGTGATGATGATTGCTGCTCTAAAGATTGATTTGCTTCTTTAGATTCACTTAGAGACTGAACTGAGTGAGAAACCCAATCAGAATCAGAAGATTTGGCTTTGTTATCCTCAAATGAATTGTTTCTAATATCGGTTTCTTTGGATGTGACAGATGGTAAAGCACCCATAGATGACGCCTCTTCCACTTTGTGCTTGTTCTTGCTGCTCCTGCCATTCTTTCTTCTCTGTTGCATAGAGGACTCAGACATGATATTTTGGGCAGAATTGAAGTCAGCATTTGAGGCAATTTCATTGGCAACAAGCTCAGTAGACAAAGCTACATTAATGGGTGTACCAGTTTGACCCTTTGGTGCCTCCTTGGTATTGGCAGAGACAGGCTTCTCAGTAGAACTCTTCTGCAATGGAACATTGTGCTTTTGTCTATAGTTCACACGCTTCAGCTTAGGGACACTGCCATCAGTTAACCGTGGGGGATTTTCACAGCACAGAGGATCAGTATTATTAGCACCCTCTTGTAAGGACAGAAATTGAGCATGTTCTTCGGCGGTTTCCCTGTTGGCATTCTTTGTTGACTCAGGAAGTAGCTCATTGGACAAAATAATTGACTTCTCAGCTTGACTAATGCTTTCACCAACATGTGAAATTACATTTGGGTTAGAAACCACAGCTGAACTTGAAGTTTCATATTTGCTAAGAGGCACATTTCCTTCTTCAAGAGAAAGGGATTCTCCCTGGTTACTCTGGATACCACTGCCTGGATCAGCTCCCAACTTCTGTGTTGAACTTTCCACAGCCTGTGTACGCCTGTTCAACTCTTCCAGTTTTGCAAGTGCCTTAGCCTTCTGGTCTCTCTCACGTTCTTCCTCCTCCTTCTGTCGCTGTTTCATACGTTGTTTGGCTAGCTCCTTCATCATAGCACGCTAATGCAAGGTCCCAAAACATAAAAAGTTAAACTTCAGGTACACAACAAGAAGGAAAACAATATAGAAGTACAGTACCTGCTCCTGGGTATCACTTGTATTGTATATAGTTTGCACAGGTTCTCCCTCATCCCTTGATTGAGGGTATCCAGAACTTTCTGCAGCCCCAGATGCCTGGTCTTGAACATCAAAATTAGAATTTTCCAAATCCAGAGCTGGTTTAGCACATGAAGAATCTATAACACTAGGTTTCTTCTGCCATCTGTCAATCTCTTGAGAATTGTATCTTCCTCTATCATGATGATTGGTAATGCCATGCATGCCATGAGTAGATCTCCTGTAAATCTTCAAATCAGTATTTTCCCAACAAAAAATAACTAAAACATCATCAATGGTAAGCCACAATTTTATGAATCAACCTGGGAATGACTGCTGCACTAGTAGCTGTTGAATCAAGACTACCGTCTTCTACAGAAGTACTAACTTCATCAGAGGCAGAGTTAGTAATTCCTGGACCATGCATTCTATCAGGATATATGGCACTAGAACCAGTTGCACCTTCATTTAGAGAATGGTTAGGCTTTGCATTAACAATGTGTGATTTATTTTTCTGCTCCCCACTATTGGAAATATAAGTAGCATCATATCGTCCATTGGAAGAACGAGCCTTCACATTTAAACCCTCTATTTTCTGAATCAGACTAGAATCTTTTGAGGCAGCTAAGGATTCTGCTTCCATTTCCTTTGCTGAAATGCTATCATATGTCCTAGCATTTTCTGCACTTTCAGGTGACTTGACTTTTATTGAGATAGAACCACCACCTCTGTGTTGGCCAATGCCAATGCTATGAGAAGGAGCTTCTTCACCAACCGTGCACCTTAAATTCATCTCTTCATCTCTGTGATCTGCTTTCACGTCATTGTCCCAAGATGATGCTTTCTGTTGGCCATCTTTCCCTACACTAGTCAGTACCTTTTTATCCTCCCATTTCTGCTCATCTTTACCATCCCAACCATCATGCTGCTTGAGAAGAACCTTGTATGGTCCTCTTGTATCATGAAGATGGCCAGATTCACCATGTTCCAAGGCCAAAGCTTTTCCTGAATGGCCATATCCACTGGATCTGGCATGGCAACTACCAACATCAGGAGCATTTGGACCAGGGAACCTGTTATAAGCAGCAGGACCAGCTGCCATTCCCATAAACTGCATATCTCGGTCACCGGAATTACAGTAGCCCATGGGTGGACCATAGTAGCCTTCATAGGCTATGGGGGGAGGGTAAAAACCAGGCCTAATTGGCATGCCCGGCCGAATATAAGCATCAGGAATTGGGGGCCCGTACATATCCCCATTTTTTGGGTGGAGAGCCCTTGGTCCAGCACCTGGAGGGGGAACAGGTGGTGGATTGGCAAGAGCAGTACCTGGAATCTGAGGTCGATAATAAGGAAATGGCTCCAAAGGAAAGGCACTGGGTCCAGGAGGAATTGGAGATCCATACGGTGGACCTCCTGGAGCCCCCCTGTACCAAACACCACCTGGATGATTGTTTATTGGAGGACCATGCCAAGCATCATAATGCTGAGGGTGAATACCAGCATTTGAGAACGGGTGGGGCCCTTGATGATCTGCATGCCACTTCTCCACACCGGGACGAACTCCATCTTCAGGAGCTGGAGGATTATCTTTTCTCCAAGAATTTCCAGTTCCGCCCCTTACATTTGCACTTACAGCAACATCACCTGAAATAACAGCACATTACTTAAAAAAAGAACCAAACATGCCAAAAATCCACAGAACAAAACTGTATGACATTGAAAAGATGAAAATATAAACTGCAGACAGACCAACAACAGAGGTGCCTATACTCTCTTTCACTATAGCCACTTCACCAGAGGATGATCCAGATCGACCATGAGAACAATGATCTGCAATCGAAAGTTAAGTAATAAAAAAAATTGCACAAAAAATATCCAGCAAAGGCCTAAACCAAATTTCGCATAACACATCGAAACAAATTACACAGGTAACAAATAGACTGATAAAGACCTACTACTGATAAATGTCTTGATAATGAGCTGAATTAGGAGTTAAATACAAATATAAAGAAAAAGATAACATGAAACAAGATTCCAAAGAAACTCCCTGAACCAGTTTAAGGACTGTCACAACAATATCAGCTATTTAGATTAAAAGTGTGGATGAAATCAATTGATGTATAAAAAATATTGTGGGGTGCCGTAGAAGTGATTAAACTAAGAAAATTGAACCTTTTCTAGGCACTGAAAATTATCAAGGAGAGAGAGATCTCAGCTTTAAACTCACAGCACAAAAATGCATTACTCATAAGTCATAAAGTGAACTGCTCAAGAGAATATTAAGCATCAACCTTGTGGTTCTGTGTTTTTCTCAATAGTGTCCTTTTCAGACCCAAGAGTTGGAAAATCCCCGGAAGTGAGAGAAAACCCATCATTCTTGGAGGGTGCAATTCCCTGCATGTATAATAGAAAATGCCTAGCAAAAGTTAGACCATATAGAAGCAGCATAACAAAGGTCAAAAGTAGAATTAGTCTAAGAGGGATCCAGCATTCCGGGGGTGAATGTATGAAACGTTTAGGATGAAAAATGTCTTTCAAATGGTAACACTGCTATCCATATCAACCCAACTGAGCTTTTCAAACACATTTTATTGTCCCATACTTAAATTCCTAGTACCCTGTGAATATAGCAAGTGAAAATAGTTCACTGGTTTTTCTCCAGCTGTTTTATGTAAAATCTACTGATATAATTTCTGAATATCTTTTCATTATTTTTCCAAATTGTCTTCTAAAGTAAGTATCAAACATATTAGTTGTTCCACCAACAAATTCCACCCCAAAAAAATAGAAACAAACAAAAATTAATAGACCATATATGATATACTGCCGAGTCAACTACCACAGTTAGTTAATGAGGTGTTTTAACAATTACAAATTTTTGGTAGTGTAAACTAAATAATAATTGTTAGTATGTCACTTATCAAGATTATTAACTGCAGGACCATACCAACTTTTCTGCTGTCCCAGTTGCACTCCAAGCCCCTGGACTCTCAGACACAGGTTCTGCAAACCGGGATAACTGAGAGCTACCAGGTCTTGTTTCTGCACTACGAGGACGAAGAGATGTAAATGATGTCTGATTTGATGTTATTTCCCCGGAAGCTGATGATGGCCTAGAATTTGAAACACCCCATGCATTACCAGTTTCATGGGCCCTGTCACTACCCGCAGTTGATGGTCGTGCGCCACTTCCCCCAGATGAAGGGCGAGCACTTAGATGGCTAGGAGAACCACCACTGCCATCAGCGCTTGGAGACAGCGCTGATGATCCCCAAGCATTAGGTGATGAAGATGACTTACTGCCCCAGCTTAGGGTGCCCCTATTAGGAGCAAGAAAGATTTACGGATCAACATGGATACTAAAGGACCATTTTAAATTAAAATAATAGAAATTATGAAAATTAGCATAGAAACATGAGAACCAGAAAATAAAGATGTGTTACTCACTTTGGAACAATCTCAACATTAGGGTCGAGGCCATGGTTTTCTAACCTTGAAACCACAAAGAGAAAAACAGCTTAAGGGGAACAAACCAAACATGTCCATTTATTAAACCTGATAAGCAGCTAAGTGAAAGCAGATGGAAGGAAACATATACCTTTGGCTGGGTAAGTTAATTGGTTTTGGAACAGCAACTTTCCCCAAAACAGTCATTCCGCTTCTTCTGGCTGAAGCCCATCTGCAAACAAAATAAAAATAAATCAATTAATAAGCACCTTAGGTTATTCACATACAATTAGAATAGTGTAGCATTGATGTTGATAGTCTTTGCTTTGGACTTTCAACACAACTGGTGTTCCCTTAGTTGTTATTAATATAATATTTGCCTTTGGCCAAAGGAAAAAAAAAAAAAGCTGTTAGAATATGTATAATTCACAACACTCCCAGGTGCCTATGTGAGAATAGAATCTGTAAATTTTAATGGCAACCGCAAGGAAGCACACAACAAATGTGTAAGAGTGAAGACATTTACTATATATGAAGGACAGAATGTGTTGAAGCTTTCCAACAAAAAAAGAAGATAGAGGAGGGGTGCTAAAAATAAAGATGAATGTAAATACTCTCCTTGAGCCATGTGAAAGAATGAGAGACAACATAGAAGAAATCCAAGATAACTGAAAATGTCATTCCCATCCCTAGCTAAATTATAAACATGTTCCTCACAAAAATAAGAAAAAAGATTCACAAAAAATTTTCACTTAACACAATATCTTCTAGTTATACTTCTCAAGTTGCACCCCAAGAAATCAAAAACCTAGAAAAACAGCTTGTTTGAAAAAAGAAAATATAGAATGATATTCTCCAACCAAAAAGAACATATACCATCATTCTAAAAGATATTTAAATCAAAGGAAAAAGGAAGCAAAAGGAGGGCGACAAAACCATTCTCCAAGTTCACTTGCTAACTAATAAGTATTAATTAATCATACCCTCCCAAATCTTTCTCTTCAGTTTTTCTGTTATCAATTTGAGGTGTGACGGATATTTTGTTTAAACAACCATATGGTAGACAATTTCAACGTTTAAACCAAAACATACCTCCGTTCTCCTGATAGTGTATTTGACGTCATAATTCAAGTTTTCTAGCAATGTCATCCAAACAAACTGAACTTAACCTGAAAAGAAACGGACAAGCAGATTCAATCAATCAGTTGCATTGCAATCAACAAACAAAAATTGCAAAAAATATTCTATGAAGCTGATGAACTACATCAAAAGCAATATCTGTCAATTTTTTATTAAAAGCAACCACCAAATTGCATATTGCATAAAATTAGATAGCTCTTCAAACTATGTTTCTACATTTATTGTTATTTATGAACACAAACCACTCTTCCACACGTTGCCCGTATAGAAGGATGCATGTCTATTAGTATTTCTATCATTCCAAAGAAGTCACAACAATCTCCTGCATGTCTATTACAGAATAATCATGCATTGCACTTATGGCACATAGAAAATGGGCACAGTCCACTCTGGCTGAACCAATTCACGCATGAATGTTTGCAAGTGAAGTAAAATCTTCAAATTAAACTATTAGACATACAAACCAAGCCAAATAGCACCGATATGTAAGATTCAACAAAGTAGCTACTTTAGCTTGTTAAAGAAGAAGAAGAAGATAGTAGGAATCATGGGTTCTAACTCTTCTGGACCAAATACTGAATCATTACCCATTAGCTTTCCAGACAAAGCTACGTTTTACAGCCCAGTAATGTGCTCAAGCTGGCAACAATAGACCTAAGCATGTCATACTGAACCATATAAGTGGCTATTCCCATTTCCTTCCGTACTAAATGAATTCCTCTTGTCTTTTTGAACAACATTCAACCATATCATAAGCAGAAATCTTGATTTCCTGGCAGTTTATTAGTCTAATCAAACAGTTTTTTCAATCTGATAACCATAAATCATTGGCATCATTTGGAAAAATACCCTTATCTCCCTGCTTAAGCCCTATGGATCCCATTATCATCAAATCAAATGCGAGTAGCTCCCATATCTTAACCACCAACCATCAATCTATCATTCACTTCATCAGAAGATATTGAATGAACTCCAATACTGAGTTCCCAACACACAAAAAAAAAAACAAAATAGCAACTATCGCGAGAACAGAGTCCACAACGTCGCAATTAAGATGCAAATTATTCAAAACAAAGACTTCAACAAAATTGTAACTGACATCTTCATCCCAACAACATACCGTAAAACAAAAAAAAAAAAAAAAAAAAAAAAAAAAAAAAAGCAACTATCGCGAGAACAGAGTCCACAACGTCGCAATTAAGATGCAAATTATTCAAAACAAAGACTTCAACAAAATTGTAACTGACATCTTCAT